TCAACTCCGCTGCACACATTTTTATAACAACCGCAGGTATGCCATCAGGACCACTAGCTTTCCGGACATCGAGTGACTGTAGTTCCGCACGCACATCACGCTGCCTGATATGAATATCAGGCATAGTGAAGCCACAAGAAGGTATCGTTGGTGGCAGTGCATTACAGTCATCGATTTGGGAATTAGCCGCGAAGAGGCTTGCCAAGAGGTCGGCTTTCTCCTGCGGCTTGTGAGCTAATGTTCCATCTGGACATCGAAGCGGTGGCAGCGTGGGCTGGCAGAAATTGTTTTGCACGGCCTTGGCGAGACGCCAGTAGCTACGGGAGCCCGTAGGGTACGTAACTAACACATGGCCAATACGTGCGACGCGCTGGGCATCCGCTCTGATGTAAGCCCTCTTACAGGACTTGGAAGCCTGATTGTAGGGCGCTTTTATTGAGTCAATATCGGGATCCCTCCGAGCACGACCCCTGATCCAAGCTCGATATGCCAGCTATTTAGACGCAACAGCGTTAGCACAATCGCGATTGAACCAGCGGTTGTGTTTGCCCATACTGATCAGATTGGAGTGCGGAATGTAGTATTCCATAGCAATACCGATCTCCTCAGTAATAGCAACGGCGCTCGTTGTCGGATCCTTCTCACAAAAGCAGCGCTGCTTCCAAGGAACGGATGCAAGGTACTCGCGCATGCCGTCCCAATCCGCTGAGCCATAGTGCCATACGCGTCGTCGAGTCCTCGGAGGTTGAGGGGGCTCGATTCGCGGCACTTTGGTGGATATCAAGCAGTGGTCGGAATTGCCCAGTGGGGCACGAACATCAACCTGATACCCGACGGGATGGCTCGTAAGCAGAAGGTCCGGTAAGGAAGGCGCTTGACCGACTATATCTGGGATCCTGGTGGGCTGATCGACTATTTGAGTCAAGTCATGCGTGAGAGCGAATGCGTGGGCTGATCTCCCAGCATGGTCCGTCTTGGAAGAACTTAACCACGATTCGTGGTGAGCGTTTTTTGGGTATGTGGTTTTTTATTGAACACTGTCAGGTATACAACTTTACAATTGTTGCGTTTTGGTGGGGGATATTGCTTTTCACTTGAAATAATAAATTATTTTAAAATAAAACAATCAGTATATCGATGGTGTAAGCGTGACACTTTTGTTAAAATTGGAAATCATTACGTTAAGGGACAAATAACATTTTAACGGGTGGTGTGGTCGGCCGGCCGATTGGGCGGCTAGCCGTTTGATCAAATGGTTGGTTGTGCCGCTTGGCCGCGACATATACATATACATATGTTATGACTATAAGAGAATTGTATGTAACTGTTTTTACAATGTGTATGTGGCATGTGCACAGACCAATGTACAATTGTTTGTATTCACTGAACCAGGGTATGGAAGTAACAGTAGATTATTGCTCCTATTAAAGATCAATCCGTGTAATTTAATTAGCCCTATTGAAGTGGAACTAAAGGCATTGTGGTGTAAACATGTAAGGTATAATCTGAATGAAAAATTATTAATTGTTAACATAAAATTATCTTGTAAACTACTATTTTATCCTATTTTAATTTAATGCTGTTTTCGTTTTAGTTGATTCCAATAGTTAATATGGCAAATGAAAATTTAAAAATATACTTTCAGAATGTCCGTGGACTGCGAACCAAATGTGCTCTTTTGAACCGTAATATTAGTAGTCATTTTTATGATATATGTAGTTGTTTTGGTGGAAACGTGGCTGAGTGACGTGTTTTTTGATGAGGAGCTCTATGACAAATATTATAATGTTTTTCGTTTTGATCGAGATTTTTATCTTAGTGAAAAATCTATTGGTGGCGGTGTGATGATATGTGGGCGTCGGGATCTGGCGGCTAATTTGTGTGATATAGTTACCGACATATATGTGAAAATATTATGTATAACAATCAATCGACGCTTTCTAAATAGTTCAAATAACTTACATATTTGTGCTTGTTACATCCTGGTGGCATGCCAAAACAACCATTACAACTCGAAGAGTTTAGTGAATATATTAAAAAAATAGTATCATCCAACCCAAATGATAAGTACTTAATTTGTGGCGACTTCAATTTGTCTTGTATAAAATGGCTCGACGTATCAATACCTACCTATTTAAAAGTAGGACCTGTTGACATACAAACTGCTGCAATTAATTTTGTTGACAACCTTAGTTTGTTAGGGTTGCGACAATACAATATTATAGTAAATTCACATGGAAATACACTGGACCTGGTTTTTTGGTAATTTTGATATCGAAATTTGCAGATGTGATACCCCTCTTTTAAATGAGGATCGTTTTCACCCCACATTAACGGTCGATGCTTCGAACATAATGATAAATCCTATAAAAGAAAACCCAACCATCAAAGTAAAATACCACCTAGGTGATTACAATGCCATTAATAAACTGTTAGACAGTTGTGATTGGGAATCTCTATTAAAGTATCGTGCTGTTGATGATGCTTTAGATATCTTATATGACAAGATAAATGAAGGCATTGATTGTTTTATACCTAAAATAAAAGTTTACTCCAAGGCTACCTATCCCAAGTGGTTTTCGTCGTCATTGAGAAAAATAATTCGTGAGAAAGACAAAGCACATAAACGATGGAAAAGGTTTCACAATCAGCGCGATTATGATGAATTTTCTTTACTGCGTAGACGGTATCATAGAGTACGTGATGAATGCTATAATATTTTTTTAAATTCCGGAAGCACTTCCATAAAAAACAATCCCAAAGTATTCTGGACCTTCGTGAAATCGAAAAAAGGGGGCAACGCGTATCCAAAACTGCTACATCTTGATAATGCAATATTTACTAATGGTGAAGAGATATGCAACGGTTTCAATAATTTCTTAGAAGGTGTATTTTCCCAACCTTTGGAAAATTATGATTTTCTAATTGATTCTGAGTCATCTGATTCGTGCATTGGTGATATTATTAGTTCCATTGACATCTCCGATGATACTGTACTTAAATATCTGCAAAACTGTAATCCTAATAAAGGTGCAGGGAGTGATAACATTCATCCGCTATTTATCATAAACTGTGCAAAATCACTAGTGCGTCCATTGCGTATTATACGATATTTAATAAATCAGTTAAAGAGAACACCTTTGCAAAAAAATGGAAAGAGGCTCTAATTATTCCAATCCATAAAAAGGGAAATAAAAGTGATATTAAGAGCTATCGTCATCTATCGAATTTCTATCTTAAACATCTTTAGCAAAATCTTTGAAAAAATAGTTTACAGTGATGTTTATAAGTTGATTCATAACAATGTCCCAAATGAACAGTATGGTTTCTTAAAGGGTCGCTCAACACTAACCAATTTAACTTGTTTTACTGCTGAAGTTCTCGCGGGTATGGAAATGGGAGGTCAAGTTGACGTGATCTATACTGATTTCGAAAAAGCTTTCGATCGTGTAGATCACATCATCCTTTTAAACAAGCTTCAAACGCTTGGAATTCGTGGAGACGATGGTTTGAATCATATTGAGCTAATAGATCTCAGGCGGTGGTGTTGGGAGGCTATAAATCTGAATTTATCCGTGTACTCTCTGGGGTACCCCAGGGATCGCACCTCTTCTTTACGTGGCTGATGATAAAAAAAATTACTTAAAAATTAAGGATATTACGGATTGTCAAAATTTACAAAACGATCTTAATCGCTTATCCCATTATTACAAACTGAACAGAATATCAATTAACGTTTCAAAATGCCAACAGATATCCTTTACAAGAAAAACAAAACCTTTAACATTCAGTATAATTTTGATGGTAGCGTTATTGATAAGGTTGTAGTCACTCGTGATTTAGGCGTTTCCTTGATAGCAAACTGACTTTTAATGAGCATCTGGATTACATCACGAGTAAGTCTTATAGTATATTGGGCTTCATCCTACATACTTGTCAACCGCTTACTGAAATAGAAATAACTTTATACTGCGCATATGTACGGAGTATTATGGAATATGGTAGCTGTATTTGGTCCCCCACTTATATATATCATAAATCACGTTTAGAAAACATTCAAAAAGTATTTTTCCGACATCTACAATATCGCACTAAACAAGGTCACGCCGATTACAACGCCGACGTTACAAACTCATGACACTGGAGGAACGCCGCTCATAGCTAGACATGTCTTTTTTTCACGACATTATTAACGGTCGTGTAGATTGCATGGATCTCACTTCCGCTGTTGGTTACGCTGCTCCTAGGAGAAGAATGCGTCACACAAGACTTTTCCACGTACCCGCCCATCATACAAATTATGCAAGTAACTCTTTTTGTGTTCGCGCTACTAAGATTTATAATACCAAGTATTATGATATCGATCCTTTCATTACATAGAAGCGTGTTTTCAAGTCTGAAATAGCGAGAGCAATTTTGGGCATGAATAGGGCTTCAGATGATGGCTAATTCATGTTTAATGTGCATTTTCACGCCATCTTCCTTCCTTTGGCAATGTCTCTGTGCTTCTCTACCTGAAAATATATCTGTATCTGATGGTATTTGACTGACGCTTTGACACACTCTCTGTAACCACATTTTATTTTATGTTTGCTTACATAATTGCTTGTATTTGCATATTGAGGAGTTCGTTTTCTGATACATGTTAATTTCTTATTCTAAAATACTTGAAATTTTTATAAAGTACAGTAAATAAGACCATTATTTTTAATATATATAGTAGATTACAGAAAAACTTTTTGATGATATTGTTAATATCTATGGAAACCTGTTATTGGCTGAATTTAAGTTACATCTGTCTAATTATCTCAACCATGTTTCAGCTGTTGGTTTTCTTAAATAAATAAATAAAAAAGGAAAGGGAGAAAGCCAGAGAGTTGAACACGACTACCATTATGATCTCCATCCCCTCTGAGGAGGAGAAGAAAGGGATGACGTATGGAGACATACTGGTCAGGGCGACGAGGTAACTCCAGGAACTCGGAATTCCTGGTGTTAGAATGGGGACTGCTGCCACCGGGGCGAGACTTTTCAAGATTCTGGGGACGAGGAGTGAGATGAAGGCGGAAGGGTTTGCCCTCAGTTTGATGGAGGTTTTTGGAGATAAGTTGAGGGTTTCCAGGCCGGTGAAATGCATTGACTTGCGAATAATGAACCTGGACGATGCTGCGGTAAGTGAGGAGCTGAGGACAGCAATTATTTCGAAGGGGGGTTACCCTCCAGAGCATATTCATCCGATATCTGAAGGGATAAGAGGAGGCCGGGTGGCACATGTGGGTATCCCGGTGGCGGTGGCTAATGTGTTGCTTGATGAAGGTGGTCTGGTTGTGGGATGGATGTTCGTCAGAGTCCAACGTCTGGAGCCCCTGCCCATGTGCCGTTTTAAATGTATTTTAACTGTTTCTGGTGTGGCCTGGAGGGATACCGAGCGGCGGGATGTCGCGGGAAAAATCAGCCGCATCGATTCCCGCGAATCATGTGATGGGGAGCAAGAGGTGCCCCCCACCACCCGTGAGGGTGTGGGCATGGTCAGTGCCGTACCCACACCATTTCCCACTGTTCACTGTACGGTTCACTGTACCGTCCCAACTATAAGCCAAAAACACGAAATGTATAAACTCTGTTACTTTTCAAAATATGAATATTAAACAATTTCAATATTAGAAGTTAATTCTGATATGAATACATAACGGTGATATTACATTCTCACTTTCTGAAATAACACGGGTGACAAACGGATCTGACGGCCCTTACAGAGCACTGATAATGTCCGCTGAACGAATGGGCCGCGTCTGGAATACACTCACAAGATAATCGCGTCATTTTGAAAACATACGATACCTTACAATGTTTGAAAACGCTTGACGTTTAGCGTGAAAACAAATATTTTTAGTTATTCGTAAGCGAAGTGCGAAAAGCTCGATAGCGTGTAGTGAGTTTGGTGTACGATTAATCATCAGCTTTGTTACGTTTCCACAGCAGCACTCAGACCTTCATGATGAATGATTAAACTCTACACGCTGGCCCGATGCGGTTTGGAGGGTATTAACGATTGAAAATGTAGCTGGAACTAAAGACCTAACATGCTTTCCGAAGCATAGCTCGTGTTAATAAATTTTTGGTCACCCATCTCCCGACCGCTCGACTTATGAAAGTTGCTTTAAAATGTCATTCGCGGACTGCAGCATTTATTCACTACTCCAACGACTTATTACCAGTCTACGACTGCGGAAGTTAAGTATGCGCTTAGCAGGAAAGATAAAACGAGATGACTAAAGGCGCTTCACGTGGCATGAAACACCGAAACTATTTATTTATGGCCTCCGTAGGCGAGTGGTTCATACGTTGGTTTTAAGATGTCGCCATCTCGGAGGTGCTGGAACCGGTTTCCGGTCGAGTCAAAGTGAAAAATGAAGTCTCGGGTCCGGGTGTTTTGATACCTTCGTTGTCTCGGATACTCCATCATACTTTAGTTAATACTTTTTTGGGAACTTTAGCTCTCAAAAAAAGTATTGGAATTATTATTTACTCTCAAACCATTAAAATTTATTAGTCGCCGGAATACGAAACATCATGGGTTCGAGTACCATCTTAGAGTGCCAGGGATAAAGTGGATTTTTAAAGCATTTTTCATTAAGAATATTTTTCAGTAAAGCGTTTTGATTGCAAAATTAACCTAATGTAAATTTATTATGAAAATTTCGTCAATCGTATTAGATCCTGGGTGGCTCACTGATTAAAACAGTCGCCTGGTTTGCGAAAACTCATCGGTTAGATCCCATCTCAGAGTGCGAGAAACAAAGTGAATTTTAAAGCATCTTTCATTGGTTTTTTGCGGGATTGTTATTATGTTACTTGTTTTTATTGAGTTCCCAATTTTTTGGGACTGTTGTAGGCGATGATGTATGAACTCAGTGTAACGTAAGTAAATAAAATTATTGTAACTTTTCAGTATCACTGTTCAATTACAATTTATAAAAAACCTTATGAAGAACAAATTCTCACCTTAAACCCATGTTGTAGTTTTCACCTTAAGAATTACAGTTTATTTAAATTTTACTTGCTTAAAACAGCTCGTCTTTAAGCCTTCTAAATGTTTTTAAATATAATTTATAATTTGTTGAAAGATATAATAACTTTATAATAATAACTTTATTTTACCAAAAATAAAAACAGACAATATGGTATGGCATAACAGGTGAAGTCCTTAAAAATACAGTAGTGTAGATCTGTGGGAACTTAAAATAGGAGGAACCTGTAGCTTAAGAACCCACAAACTTCCGTTGATAAAAATATTACAAGTGTATATAAGTTTGTAAAAGTACAGAGGGTCATATTGCTTAAATACTATCTTAAATAAATTCTATAGTAATTATAATTATACAATTCATAAAAGCTTATTTAATGTGATGAAGTAACTCTTCTGTCTCCTCATAAGACAATGGGAGAAGCCATTGTAAAAGTGTATTTTTTAACTGTCTGGTATTCAAAGGATATATATTAATAAATCTATTGACATAATTATAAAGAAATGGACCCAGAAATGGTAGGAATCTCTGGCTAAAGGATTTACGAAAAAGTCGACCCTTGACTATTCGTCTATTACGAAATTTGGCAACATCAGGATCAAATGCTCACTTAGAGTGTTGGTGCAACAGCGTGTACAAAATGAATATATACATTTTATTTATAATCCCTATCTATTAACTTATCTTACTAGCTCTACAAGTATACGAATAATAATAATAATGATTCAAAAACGACGTTTAAAGGAACACGTCTTATCCGTCCGCAAAAAATCCCCGTATATCACAAGAAGAACTTGTTTAAACTATCTATGCATTTAATAGCCAACTTAAAGGGATTGTAGAAATTTAACACCTTTGCGTAATATCCTAAGAGATAATAATGTTAGAAGACCATTTATAAAGCGATTTTACGACATTTATAATGCTTTAGGTATGGAACTACCAATATACACATTAAACATTTAAAATGTAAACTGACGACCGCCGTAGCCGAGTGGTTCGCACGCCGGTTTCAAGGTGTTGCCATTCTCTGAGGTCCCGAGTTCGATTCCCGGTTGGGTCAACGTAGAAAATGAACTTTTCTATATTGACTCGGGTCTGGGTGTTGTGGTACCTTCGTTGTCTCAGATACTCCATAATACGGGGGCTTTAGCTACTCATCTTGGAATCTGAGCAATGTATGTGATGTTGTTAAATATTTTAATATTTTTATTTTAAAAACTTGAAAAGAAGAGTTTTTCAATTAAACAAGATTTCATTTTAGATATCAGGAGCATATTCAATTTCAAAATATAATTTCAATTTCAAAATATACGTAACACGCATAGGTGAGTTCACATAGGTAAGTTCGTTATAAAAAGTAAAACTTTCACAGGCGATTACATTCCTGTGGAGTACAAAAGGTTAAGTTATCGTTTCTTTATAATGTATTCAGGCAAATTTACTGCTCGTTTGTCTGCTAAATTATATTATTCAGACAAGTCGAACGAAAGTAGAGAAAGTCTTTGAACATTATTCTAACATTAGTTTTAATTTGATTGTTTTGAGGTAATTGTGTTTGAATTTAATCATATTTACAGTGCTTTTCTGTGTTTACAACTTTATATAATTTAAAATAAATGAAAATGGAAATTGATAAACACAAAATATTAACGTTGCAAGTTCTATTCCCGGTCGGGTCAATGTAGAAAATTGACTTGTACACTCCGGTCCATATGTGTGGGTTCATATGTGGACTCTGGTCTGGATGTTGTACTACCCATGTACTTTTATTAATTATATTTATTAACAAGTTACATCATTTTAAATGTAATAAGGCGGCACCAGAAATAATGCGGATAGTGAAGACAAAACCAAACCTATAAGCAAAATTTCAAACTGCTTTAAAATGATTTTGCAAGATTTAACAAACATAACAATCGCCAGCTGATCACGCTAGCGTACGGTTGAGAACTGCTAAAGTGTGTGGATATGATACGATACGGAAATGTGAAACTGCATTTTCTGCACTGCACTGCAAATGTGTGGATACTTCAGATTCAGAGCGGCTGCCTATCTTTGTGGCCAAGGAGTTCGAAGACTACCCAAAACGTTTGATCATTTGGATGCGACGCGTTTTTTGCGGGATATATCGCGACTAGGAGAATATCTTGAATGACAAACAGAAGATAACAAAATTAACTTTAATACGAGAGATAAATTTGAACGAGTTACTCGAGCGCAATGGATGTCCCCACCATCGGTCAATTGTAAGTTTATACCCATAAATTTGAAATGAGGAACGGATAGAAGAGCAAATTGAAATAGTTTTTATTACAACAATGGTCTTATAGGTTTTGATTTTACATTGATTAACCAGCCATCTAAAGGAAACATGATAAATAAGTCACGTAACCCGTCACGCTTACTCGCACCCAACGACAAAGTTATACCTGTTTTATACATTCATACGGAGGTGGAGGACAATACAGAGGTTTCCAGCGATATACAACTGAAAGTGAGATGCACTGCAGTTTCGAACAAGTCACGCAGCTGGGGAGTGATCAGCTTCCCTACCGCTAGTTCGCTCGGTGTATCCTGCGCAGATGGAGCGCAGGATACACCGAGCGACGCGAATTGCTGTCGAGGTAATACACAAACGACAGTGCACAGAACGAGGCTTATCTTGTCGGATGTGTTGCGTTCGTGTAAATAATGGGGATCGGTAGTAGAGGATGAGTGAAATAAAGTTGTTCACAAAAAGGGGCTTTGGAGTCAATTTGTAAATAACCAAGTTTCGCTGTATATTTCAAATATTAGTAAAGAAACCAATGAATAAGACACTAAGAATATGAAATAAAAAACTATTACTAGTAGTATTATATTATAAATGTAATGTAAATCTACAAAGGACCGAGCGTAAATAAAGGATATAACTCTTTTAAACTATTTGTGGACTATAATCGAAAGACATCGGTCTTTATTTGTTATTGATAAGGATAGGCCGGATGAGGTTCCCTTCAGAAAATATGTATTTTTTAAGCACAAAGGTGGAGCAGATTCTCGTTATGTCAGAACTGATATCGAATAATCTAATAATTGGCAATAAATTATAATACGAGTACATAAAGTTTAATAACTTAAAATAATATTGGTGTTGGCGACTGGCCGTTCAAATATAGGTTAAGTTCTTTTTAGAAGTGTAAAATGTCAAAATTATTTATGAGTTTACTCTTGTTTTTTAATAAATCATTGTTCGTTGATGTCAGCAAGGGATTTTTATTTGCTATTTCTAAATTCTAAAATTACAGTCTTTAATAATTGGTACATTTGTATCATTTAACTGTAAGAATTTCAAAAGATCTTTTGAAAATGTGAGAGATCTTCTGTATACAATCCGATGTGCTGGCTCTCTAAGAAACATGGCTCCTTCCACGTGTCAACAACAGTTTTGAAAACACAACTAAGTCAACAATTGACACATCTGTTGGTTTATCAAAGGGACATCCGTTTAGTGGAGTAGCGTTGTTATGGAGAAAGGGCATTTTGGTTCTGATAAACTGATAATTTAGAAGAATTTATTAGTTGTGTATACATAATAAATTGTTATAATTGGCGTCAATGCTGCATACTTATTTTTGTATAGAAATAACTAAACTGCTGTTGAAACTTTGTTGAATAAATAAATAAATAAACTAAAATGCATTATAGAAAAAAAAACGATGTGCAGGCAAAAAAAAAAAAAGGTTTTGTATATGTTCTAGAAAATTTTAACGCTTATCCAGGCGAGTCTTTTTGGAAGGAATTAAGCGAGTGTTGTCTGAAGAATTAGTGGATGTGTGCAGGTGCCGAACTTATGGGCTTAGAATCACCTATACTTATATTAGCTATATTAATGGCAGCAGGAGAAGGCTAGATCATTGTATCGTGACGTTATCTGCACGGCACACTGTTTTAGATATTAAAGTTGACTATGGGGTATATTGGTTTGATCATTCGCCGCTTTTCATGGAGTGTAATATAGATAGTGTAGTACATAAATTGCACATAACAATTTTAAATAATAAATGTAATACTGTAATGTGGAAAAATAAATCTAAAACTCTGATTGTAGGTATTATGAGTTATGTGACATTAAGAATGAGATCTATTCTTTTTCCTAGATTGTCACATTGTTTGGAGATAAATATTGTAGAAATGTTAATCACCAGAAGGCTCTGGACCGATTTATAGTGACATAAAATCTATAATTATTAAAACCGCCATGGTTACGTATGAATGCTCGCCCGTTATCCGTAGGAGATCACAGTCCGTCAAAGAAAATAGCAAACATGTTTAAAGATTGTTTTAGAATCTTTTCTTCACTAGAGCCAGCCCGTCGGATGATTAATGTTGGGACAGTGTGTGATAAAAGACGTAATCAGAGAGATATCAGGGGGAAAGTCCTCTGGTCACGACAATATCAGCATTGAGCATCTGAAGAATGCTGGTGTATATGTTCTCAGAGTACTGGCCATATTTTATTCCCTGTGTTTAGCGCATTCATATTTGCTGGATGATATGCTAAGATCATTGGTGATTTATATTGTTTAAAAATAAAACTAGAGATTTATTAGATGTGAGAAATTATCGAACCATTTTACTGGCAACAGTGCTAGCGAAGGTGTTCGACTGTCTACTCGATCGGCAGCTTGATCAATACATATAACTTCATGATACGCAGTGTGGGTTTGAACACCAGTATATACTTGTTTCCTGCATATTTCCAAGGCGTTCGATCTCTTGGCTTATGAATATGCTGCGGGAAGCGGGCACATCGAATAAATTGTGGATATTCTTCGCTATTGGTATACTCAACACCGCAACAATGTAATGTGGAATGAAAAGATATCTGTCACTTATGGGTTGGTGAGTGGGGTGATGCAGGAAGGGATTACCTCTCCCGAGCTTTTCAATCTTTATGTAAATAAGTTGATCGTTAGACTCAGCAGTAAAACAGTCGGAGGTTCTGTCATAAATCATGCGGACGATATGGTGCTGCTGGGTTCAACGGCCGGCTCAATCCAACAGCTCCAGAAGCGTGTGAAGAGCATGCGACCAGTTATGGTCTTATCTATCATGTTAGAAAGGATAAAAGAGAAAAAGGTGAACATTGACATTAACACGTATTCTAATAATAGATAAGCCTTAGTTGCTAAATAAATGAATTTAATATTATTATGATAAATTGTAAGTTAATTAAGATATTGTAATTATGCAAATGTTCCTTTCATATTCATGTCTATAAGATCAAATAAATGCAAAGCACGATTAAAATCTAGGAGTAAACATTTAAATATACCTACCTACCTACTTGTAAAGGAAAACACTTTCATTCTATATTTGAAACGGAATGCTCAAGGCACGAGCGAGAGCTAAGTGATTGCTTACAAATCGAACTGTTTATAAAGAAGTCGATGAAATCCAAGTTCATTACATTTTCCTTTCATTGAACATAATATTTAATATCAGCTCTGACGCTTTGAGCTGTACTTCTAGCTTATTCAGATATCCAACATATTATATTAATTTCAGTTATTATTACAAACGTGTTTTATCTTTGAACTCTTCACAAGGAATGACTCAATGAATTTTATTAAAATTGAAATATGACACACAAATAGATTGTATTATTAAAATATAATTTACTTCAATGAAATATTTCGTACTCTATGTTTAGCAATAAATATTTATAAATTAGTATGTATTGTTGACTACAAATATTCAGTTCTATCGGTTTTTATTTAATTCTGAATATTATTTAGTATGGGTCAAATATTAAGTAAATTTGATTATACTGAAATTATATCTAGTATGCTTTCGGGGGTCTGCTGTTCTATGTTGTCGCCGTGGGATCTAGGAACCTAAAAAGAGGTAGAGGGAGGCATATCCATTCGCAATCTCACCGTAAGCTGCTTAAAACGTCATGACGTCATTATGAAGAAAACAGCTAGCAATCATTTTTTTTAACCCCGTCGTCATCATATTGTGGACACTGCGGCAGTGGAAAGTTCGAGTCTCACTGGTGTTCATAAGTCTGTAAGTACTCTCGCTTGTGTATCAAAGTTTTACCGTGTGTACTTTACGGACAATTTAATCTTCTTTTAGGTTTAACGTTTGATTTTCTTTAGACTCATAACAAACCGCATACTTTTTGATTAGGGTCTCGCAATAGGTCACGGCTTTATATGCTTCCTGACGAGATAGTATTTTTGTACAACCACTCAACATCGGAAAGAGGTTCACCGCCACTGATGGGGCTCAGGCCTACTCTATGGGTGGAGTCGAATCGAACCGAATAGGAAGAATTGGTCATGTTCCACCACGCGGGTCCTGTGCGGGTTGGAGGGTATCAACGACTGCATATGCAGCTGGGACCAACGTCTTAGCGTGCCTTCCAAAGGACGGAGGAGTTCGATTACTTTCTTTATCACCCTGCCCCGTCATTGCTTGACCGAAATTTGCTTAACAACCGTGTCGCAAACCGAGCCACTGCGCCATCAGTAAAAGTTTAAAAGAAGGAAAAATCTTAACTTGTGTGATACAACACCATGAAAAGAAAATGATTAAATATGGTTAGAACAATACAAGTATGATGATTTAGAAAAAATAATACAATCAATTACGAACCTTTCTTAAAAACCAACGCTAACGTGCGTGCACACACACACACACACACACACCGGCATTATATTATCTACTCGTTGTTTTATTAATATTTTCACTTTAATGTAATTATTTGCAATATATTTAAGGAGGAGCCTGCCTCTCATAACATACGGTAACCTTATATGAGAGCGGTTCACATTTTGTACTGAAAAAAGTATATAAAATAAAAAAAAATTTAAACAGTCCACATAATTAAGATAAGCTGTTTTTAACTATTTTAAAACTGAAGATGTCACTGGGTATGATTTGAAAGTTCACGATGCCAAATTTATATGCACATTTTATGCTGAGAGCACAGATAACTAGATAACTATTATTTTATGATTTCATCAAAATCATAAATAATACAAATTACACGGTTGCGAATGATTGTTTGTCCACAGTAAATACAAAATGTAAGAGTCTGATTACAATAGTCGTAGATTATAAGAATCGTGACACATAAATCAGTAAAATCTGTAATGCTAATTATCAATAAAACTGATGAATGAAATATTCAATTTTTGGGACTTTTAACTCTTAAACAAACGAGTGAATTCTAAAAACAGAGCTAAGATTAACACAGAAGGAAAAAATATATTTTTAAAATCATTAGGTGTTAGCTTATCGTCTCTTTAACGAAGTGAAAACTCGAGGTATTTTCTTAAAGCGAAGCTTAAGTAAACAAGGGTTGCAATTTTTATCCGCTTGTCATGAGTAAAGGAAAAATAATCCTTTTAGATTATATCATAAAAAGGCTGTTTCATACTATCCGTTATTGTTTATATTAGGTTAGGGGTAGAAATTTCTTCGAATTATACAAGAAAATTCAAGGCATCAATTTATTTTATACATCTAGTGCTCTATTTAGTGCTCTTCGATACTCTTGCTAACCAACTTTCTATAGCCAGTGATAGGATGGGTGACCAAAAATTAATCATAACAATCTCCTACGTCCTTGGAAAGGCACGTTAAGCCGGTTGGTCCAGGTGTCTGGGCACGCGTGATGGGTCATAGCCCATTCTTCCTATTCGATTCCATCCACGGGACAGGCCAGCTGTGGGAACATTAATAAGCCCAGCAGTGGGGACTGATGATGATGATGATGATGATGATACATCTAATTATACCGTATTGTGCTTGATACATCTTATTTTATTGTGCTATTTTGTTGGATTGGTTGAATTGGTATGATCTCGTTTCTATTTAATATTTTTATAAGATAAAGCAGGTAGTTTTTGCAATTCTCCTTTCAACAGAACCAAAGAATGGCAGATAAATATTTAAAGTTAATATGAAAAGGTCTAAAGTTAAAATGTGACGTTAAAAAGACAGAAACAAATATATAGAAAGCACAAGGTCACGGATAAGGCGAATGCATTTAATTAAAACCAAAACATCCGCATCATGCTAATGTTATTTTTGGTTCAGCTAAAAGGCCCATGAAATTTCAAATTATAATTAGTACGTATACATAAACCTTTTAGAGATATATTAAGAGCCCATGTATATTAGGCTATTACCGTATGGCTTTGTATATTTACATACAAATGGTTTGATTAGGTGAGTCCTCGGGGAGATTACAATTACCTAGACATCACAGGACATAGATAAGACGTCACGTTTGCTCTATTAGTTAGGCATTGTAACGTTAATATAACATACATACTAATATCTGATTGAAAGGGGTAAAGGGAGGCAAATAGGTGGACGGAGGGGCGGTTTTCAAATCGTGCTTTATTTTACAGGCATTTTATTCCGAAACTGCTACTATTTTAACTAAATACTTTACAATTTTAGTGGAGACGTGAGTTGTATCAAAAATTCTGGTCTATATCCCTAAAATATTATAAGTCTATACTAATTTTATTAAAACATAAATTTTTAAGATTTAAAAGTTAAAAAGGGGGGGAGTGAACATTTTGTAATTTTTGAAGCGTTTATATTTCAAATGATTTACTGCAAAGAAAATGTCAAAGTTTAAATAATGTTTAAGTTACAGATTCATATGAAGACACTTTGCATGTTTGACGTATTTTCAAGTCTCTCTTATTTTAAAATTTTCGTATTAAAATCGTAAAGCAATTAGTTAAATTGGTACTGTTTCGGAATAAATGTCTATCAATTAAAGATAGACTTATCGACGTAACGAATGTATAAGAGTTCCGTTTTTTGCCATTCATGTGTGGAACGCTTAAAATGGGATATATAATTATGAGTATTAGGCAACAGATTGCAAAGAACAAGAACACAATAGCTAAAGAAAAGTTTATTTTGTAAATCCATCTGATCGGGAATCGAACCAGAACTTTAGACAACTTGAACTCGGTATATGAGCCATTAGGCCACGGAGTATATTAACAATGATGGTCATTTGAATGAGTTTCGTTAAAACCTCGCCTATATACTTAAGAACTCATACCAGCATGCTTACTCTTAAACACAATCGCGATCTATCGACATTTCATTTGTGCCATAGCTTACACTTGTTTGCTTATACTAGCAGAGTATGCTAGTGTAACCAATCTAATAGAGACAATTTTTTTTTGTTTTTCCGTCAGGTAGATTATTGAAAAATATTAAACACGTATTTTATTCATTTTCTGCGTAATCATTAAATTACGGCAATACATTGAGTTAAAATATCATTTGACGTGACGCTTTTGTATATTTTTTTACAAAACTGACGTAGCGAGCCCCCACTCCTCAACTTTGACGCCAGTTATCTTAGCTATTTCTCGTCAAATTGAATTAAAAAAATACGCATCTAATATTTTTTATTATCTGACTGACGGACTTAATAGAATTTCTTTTTTTACCCTGTCGTCATCCTTATTGCAATGATGTTGATCACATTCATGGATTCTCAAACATTTTTGGGTAAGAGACCCACACTTTTCCGAAATAAACTTATCTCTCAAATCCAATTGCTTTAAAACGCTAAAGCAATATCATTTTCTATCAACACTTTTCAGACGGTTAAACAAACTAACTTAACATTATTCTCTTTTCATTTCACAAAATAAATAGACATAGGCATATTTCCGTCGATATCAATTATAAATCATACTATTGCCAATTCAAGTTAATACACGGAACGGGACTTATATAGTATTAAATAATGAACAAGTGTTAATTAACAGAGGTACATTTTAGATATTCTCGACCACCAAATTCACTTTTCATTTATGTGGAACCCTGGGAAACCGATTTTGATATCAAGAGGTTGATATTTACCACATTGACGTATATCATATCATTTATTAGTATTTCGTAATCGAAAGTCACATTCTAATATTAATATACCAATAAACGTTTGCTTTATACAGATAGAATATAGTTTATATTTGAAACCTATTAAGCTATTATCGTTTAGCCTATCGGTATCGATAAAACAGTAACAAACATGTTCCTTAATTTACGAATGAAGCGTAAAAAATCAATCTGTTATCCCAAATGGAAGGCCTATAAGACAGACCATTCGTTAAAATGATATCATCTAGACATATTAATCATTTGATAAGAATTGGTTGCGTCCTTTATTTGGAGGGTTTAATTTTTATTTGATTTATTACTGAAATAAAACCTTTTTTTCTTTATTTACACTGAAAAATCAGACAGCAATTACCATTAAAATGCTATTAAAATATACTTTAAAAGTAGTTCACGTTTTGCCTCATCTAAAATTGGCTATTACGAATTTATTTATTCGTAATAAAAGTGAATTGGTATTTAAGTAATTTGTAATGCAAAGACAGTTTCTAAAGAAATTTTTCATAATCATCATAATATAAGCTACTAAAATATTAATTCAAATTAATATTAACGAATGATTTTAATATGAAAATAATTAGGTTGAAAGCTATCTTATTAAATATTTATATTTGAAAGATATTTCATATTTGGTAAAAATAGCAAATTTCGATCACTTTTTCATATTAAAAACTAATTTATAAAAAATAGTTAAAAGAGAATTTATAAAGAAAAAAATTGAATCTTAATTTTTTTCCTCCTACGTACCTACTCAAATAAGTTTAAATTCCAAATTCAAATTAGACGTGGAAGTTGTTTTAAAAGCAGCTTATACCTATATAATTATTCTAGTAAGTAGACAAATAATTTGTTTATTTTTCTAAAACAAAAAAGGTTTCTTTCTTCATAGGTATAATCTGTTTGATCTTGGTACACACGAGTTTTGCTAATGTTTGGCCTCGATATCTAATTATGCGTTCACTTTGAACTTAGGATATTTGCCCGTTGAAATTTACGTTCGCCGCTCATAATTCATGCCTGTTTGACATCACCGGCGAATTATAAAGGCACGGTATTAGTGTCGTGTTTTAATAAAATCCAAATGTGCGTGTTTAAAAACATATTTTTCAATTTGGAAGACTTTTGCATATAAGTAGTATATATGTCGCAGCCAAATAGTATAATCAATCATCCAACCAACTCCAAGGAATGAGACTTATAGAGTATCAAATAATGAACAAGTGTTAATAAACAGAGGTACATTTAAGATATCCTCGACCAGCAAATTCATTTTTCCTTTATGTCTAACCCTGGGAAACCGATTTTGATATCGAGTGGTATCGATATTAATCACTTTGACGTATATTATATCATACATCAGTTTTTTTCGTATTTCGTAATCGAGAGTCACATTCTCATATTATACATATATTAGGTCCTTACATATGGAATTGGTGTTTGGTATGGGAGAACAAAAGACGAATATTTTTGACTATCATATATTTATTTAATTAAGGTATAAACCATTGTTATCTATGCACTTTTGCCTTCTCATAGGTAGTTCATTGATCCCCTTACTAAAAAAAAAACATTCGGACGGGGATAAAATCTTTGAAGGAGACTTGCACTGCCCCATCGGAGTTGAATTTTTTCCCTTGCTAGAAGTTATCCAAATTTTTCGAAAAAAAAAGGTAATCTGTTGGAGCAGGGTCCGGGGAGTACAGTGGATGTCTTAGACGTTCCAATTGAAGCTCTTCTAATTTGGTAGCCGTCTGTTGTGCAGTGTGTGGTCTAGCGTTGTGGTGAAGTAGCAGTGGCGTAGAGTGATTGACTAGCCTCGGTTATTTAACAGCTATACAGCAGTTGTGTAGATTATACACATTCTATAAATCATCCATTAAAGGGTTAGCCGCCCAATTGGTTGGCTAATAATACCACTTGGCTGCGACATATATACTGTTTATATTTAACACGAAAGGCTCTATTACAAATTAATTGCAGAGTTTTTAACGAATTCGATATTATTAATATTGTTTAATGCATTTTATTTTTTCTAATTCATCATCTGTGTCTGAAAGTAGCTAAAGCTAAAGAGCAAATTACAGCTTACAAGATTGACACAGCCAACGGACCAATGTACTTAGATACCTATTAATAAATATGATGTTCTATTGTAATTAGGTATAATTATTAAATACGTACTCTGAACATTAAAAGTCATAAAAACATCTTAACATTGCTTCTAGAATATATTATAAAAGTAAAAGTTAAAGCAAGCTGTGTCTTTCTACGTAACTGTCGCCATCTAGTGTAGAGACAAAGTAATAAAAAAGGACCGACTAATTGCTCGATTTAGGAAGGTATTTAATAATGAATTCGTATGTAGTAACTAAATAAATATTCTGTCGTTGTGATTTCAGGACACTCACATTCAGTTTGTAAAGAAACATAAAAGTTTGAAGACATCTTTAAACTATAATTAATGATTTAGAAAATTTCTATCCGTAATGTCGCTTTATGTGCTGCTGCTCGCTGCTCGCTGGACAGATGATATAATACAGGTGGCGGGAAAGCAGTGGATGGAGACAGCGAAAACAAAGACGCTTGGAAGTCTCTAGAGGAGGCTTTCACCTCCGAGAACGAGGGGTTCTTACTAGCTTAGTTTATAGCACAGTTACACATAAACTACTTAATTATGTTTATAGTAAAAATTAAAGGCTTTTTATTTATTATTTATTTATTAATGTCGCTTTAAGCAATTTTAACGGGCGTTGGGTTGGTTAGGACTTTATTGTTTTTATGATCCGCTCTCTTGTTTTCCGCTCATCTCAGTCCTCATACAGCGTGCACGTAAACTATCGATCAGCATTTGAGAGGCTTCTGAATGCGGTTCGTTAGCCGTGTTAGTTCACTAGGTGGGTGCGTGCGCGGTTGTTTCTCTCACCTAACTAACTAAGGTAATATTACATGAAATAATATTTGATTGGAGCAGGTGCTACTAACTTTTATTTTATCTGCTAGCCAACACTCAGTTATATCGAATATCGCACGTAGATATTGATAACACTTGGGGTTCTTATAGAAAAATGTACTTAGCTTTATAAATAAATTCAAACTTTCAAGCGTAGAGCATTTTCGTCCCTCAAAGGCCATCAGCGCACTTGTAGCTCCTCTGGTGTAAAGTAATGTATTTGCCTGTGAGTTTGTAAAAATATTTTAAAGTAACAAATGGCCAAAAAGAGGGCAATGACCAAAACCGGATCTGCTGCTTTACCTTATCTATAGATTCCGTTTTAAATGAGCTACGTGTATGTAAACGAACCACTTTACTTTGTCATTGCTATTTAATCGCATGTTGGTAGTTCATGGTTGGACCCCTTTTATAGTACGCTTACTTTGGGTCACTCTATTTTATTTTTTTTATCATCATTATTGACTGGCAACTAATTGTAACTGCTTTTAAAAAATTGATTTATTTAAAAACTGCTTAGCGATAGCTTTATTATTACGATATATAATAATAATAATAGTATACTTTATTGCACACACGAGTTACAAATTACACAGTTTGAGAAAAGAAAAGAAAAACAGTATACAAAAAGGCGGCCTTATTGCTACATAGCAATATCTTCCAGGCAACCTATGGAGGAAAACAGATAAATAAATAATAATCTAGCTATATCTTAGCTATAGCCGTACAATTTTATGACAAAACTGAAACATCTAATTTTAATTTATAGTCTATTCATCTTCCTCTGAGACAATATGTAAACAAACTGGAAAAATGTTCTTTAATATGTCAAAATATAAATGCATTTAGAATTAATGAAAAAAGAAAGTGACATTAAAAACACCTAAAATTGAAGCTGTTCCCAAACATTGGACGTATTATAATACTACTAAATTGAGGAGTAGTGATAAGACAAATACTTTACGTAGAAACGTGAAATTTTGTAATTAGTCGGGTTATACCAGCCATTTTTACTCTCGATCAACTCGTTGACTCGTGCAAAATGCTTTCGCTAAGTTCTTGTTATTTGTTTATTCCAGTTGTTAAGTTTGTTGTTTTCTGTTATTGTTAAGTTTTAAGTTAAATGAAATAAAATCTTTTTTAACCGATGCTCTAAAAAGGGTAACAGTAGGAACTGTGCTAAAGTGCATTGACCATGTCATAAAAGAAGAACAAAATTTTTTTAAATTGATGGTTCATAGATGATTTGGTTGACCGTTTTGTGATAGAAGTTGGTGCAACTAGTTCCTCAGAGGAAGAAGGGGAAGATTCTGAATAAAATTATGTGACTCTTACAATTGCTATTTGAAAAAGAAATAGACTTATTGTATTGCATACCTACTATACAATAATTTGCCCCATTAACAAATTTTATTTACATACCAACATAAATAAAAAAGTAATGGACTAATGACATTTACAAAAACCATGTCATTACCAGATCGTATATATATATATATATATATACTCATTCCATATATATATCCATATATATTCATTGACCTCAAGAACCAATATACTGTCACAAAGAAGATTCGATTTTGCCTTATTTTAAAAATGATTATCGTTACTAGAAAGCTCAGTACTAACTAAGTCTTTAGAATGAAATAAAAATTATTATATTTTATCAATTTTACATTCACAACGCTATACTGAAAAATATTCTTAATGAAAAATGCTTAAAAAATCCACTTTGTCCCTGGCACTCTGAAATGGATCTTGAACCAATGGCTGTTCGCAATCTGAGCGACTGCTCTAACCACTGAGCAACACTTGTTACTTGTTTAATTATTTGATACGTCGCGTAAATCGTAAAGACGATTGGGGAATATTTGACATTTATGTAAACCAACGAGTTCAGAGTGTAAGAAACTTCTTACTATTCTATATAATGAGTTCACGGACCGATCTGAATTGTCAGTTTTCTTTATATGTTTACATTATATATACGATATTATTACATCTATAAGACATTTAATGTCTTTTATTTTATGAATAAACAGATTAGAACTTTTCACTTACAATCATAAATTCTTACATATATTATTGTAGATATTAACAATTCACGTAAAACAACTGATTAATTGGACTAAACTCGGATCAAACAAATAAGCTAAATATTAATGCCATGCAGTTAAGTTGCCTCAGTAATAACATTTCGGCGTCTATTATGCTAGATATTAAATGAAGATTTGATATATGAAAGCGAAACTTGCAAACAACGTATCCCAATAGCATAACTTTCTACATTCAATTATCGATGACATCGAGAGACACGATGTGTGCTAAATTTTTCCTGTCTCGAACTAATGTAATATTGGATAGAGCAATATTTGATCAGGACTCCAGGTGTAAGGACTTCCTGTTTTATTTGGTCCTATATCAACAATACTAGTAGATCTTCGTACTTTTACAAGTAGATTATGTTCATACGGTGGTAAGAAATCCGATCACATTATCAGCAATCGCTTGGTAATTTTCTATTGCTAATGTACTGTATGATTTTTGTGGCTCATTTTCATTGGACAGTCGTTCATTCATTAAAAATATAACATTCCGATGAACTTAAATAATAATCTTCAAACAAAACAAAATAATGGGTCTTTTATTTTGATTTGTTGATTTAATATTATTCTGTTACTATTTCTGGATTTATAAGTAATTTTGAGTCCTTTTTATTATTGGCTTCGCAAGTTTTTGTCTTACGTGATCCACGTTTCATCATCAGTTATCAGCTTCTTCAAAAATGGTTCGATTTCACTACGTCGTGATAAAGAATTACAAATGAGTACACGGTTCATTAGGTTTCTTTCAGTGAGCTTTCAGAACCCACGAAGGTTGCCCGGAAAAGTTTGTTGCTTAGCAATAAGGCCGCCTTTTGTGTACTATTTTTAGTGTATAATTCTTTGATACTTCTTTTATATTATGTGCAATAAAATATGTTATTATTATTAATTTGAGGTAGAATATTTATGTAGTTGATATTCGTATTCAATAATTAAAATTTTTCTCCATTACTGTTTCCCATAACGTGCTATATAGAGTGTTTTGAATAATTTATATGTGTGTGTAATTAAATTGGTAAAGTACAACTTTCGTCTCATGGAGACTTGAATTGAAAATTTATCCTCAGAATAACTTACAAGTTATTGAAACAATCTATGAACATTTAAGGAAGTTAGCGCTCTGTCTGCACTCTGTCAACTTCTGCTTACTGTCGCTGCTTAAAGGAATTCTATTTATTATTCAAAAAAAGTTAAAGGATTATATTCATTGAAACGAACTTAATCAGTAATGTGTACCAAATATCCTAAGTATAAAAAGCCTAACAAACTTAACACAACTATAAAATTTCCGTCTAATTGTAAAAGTGTTTAGCTTATATATAATTAAGCAATCAAAACGGCTACTGCTGGTGTTCCTCAGGGCGGCATGCTTTCTCCCTTATTATTCGCCATTTTTATTAATTCTATTACTCATAATCTAACTTCCACCTACCACTTGTATGCTGATGATCTTCAAATTTATACGCAAGAGAGATTTGATAACTTGAACGATGCTATCCGCAAGATCAATATTGATCAAGATCGTATTGTGAACTGGAGTTCGTCATTTGGTTTGAATGTTAATCCTAAGAAGACTCAGTGTATAATAATTGGCAGCCCTTACTTTGTGTCCAGGATTGATTTCGGGCAGTTGTCGAAAATCACTTTGGACGGGACAGTGATTCCATTTACAGATACGGTGAAAAACCTAGGACTTTTATTTGACAAATCTTTATCCTGGAGACCACAAGTTGCAGAAGTTAGTAGACGAATGTTTGCTTCAGCTGGGGCGCTGCGGCGCTTACGTAACTTCTTACCAACTGCCACCAAAATTACTCTTGCACAATCCCTACTTCTACCTATACTCGATTATGCAGATGTGTGCTATCCAGACCTTACAGTTGAGCTTCTTAATAAGCTAGAACGTCTCCAAAATTTCGCCATAATGTTCATATTCGGACTGCATAAATATGACCATGTCTCTCACTATCGTCAAAAGTTGAATTGGTTGACTATTCGCCGACGCAGAGACCTACACATATTATCCCTTCTCTTTTCTGTGCTGTTCAATCCATTGTCACCCAGATATCTCAAGGAGAACTTTAAGTTTCTTTCCTCTACTCACAATCTTCCCCTTCGTTCGTCTGACAATCTCCGCCTTTACATACCGCCTAACTTTTCTCAATTTTACAGCCAATCTTTTACCCCGCGAGCTATCCATTTATGGAATTCCTTACCTGAGAATGTTAGGCGCGCCCAAACGCTGGAGTCTTTCAAATCTCTAGCTGCGAAGTTCTTTTTGTCAGATGAACAGAAATCTACTTGATATGTTGCTTTCTTATCATTGTATGTTTATTTATTTTATGTAACTTTATTATCATATTTATATTTCTATTAATATTATTAAATTTATTTGTAACGCGCGCAGCCTACCTACATTATTGTCATCATTGCTTCTTCCAGTATAGGTTGCCTGGAAGAAATCGCTGTTAAGCGATAAGGCCGCCTATTGTGCAATAGTTTTAATATTTGTAAGTTACTCGTTATTTATTTCTGTTGTGTGCTGTACAATAAAGTGTTTTTATCTTATCTTATTTTTAAAATAAGATAAGATAAAAACAAATGTTGTAAATCGTATCTCGTTGAAAATTTACCTTTCTATATTGTTTTGGGACTGTTGTGATAACTTAGTTCTCTCAGATAGCCCATAATACGGGGGCATTAGCTACTCATCTTGGAATCTGAGTAATATACGTATATTTTCTAATAATAATTCATATTCATACATCATGTACATATATTTTGCAGCCAACTTGTTAAAACAGCCGTATGATTGAACAGCTAGCTATTTAATTGATTAGCGCTATTTAATGCCACGTCTATTTTTCTAGTTGAATAATTATGACATTTTGACAGTTCAACAAGACGGCTGATTTAAAAGCCGCGAAAACATTATTTAGTTTTGTTACCTGTTAAAAAAATACCTCATAATTTAAGACGATCGTTACGCTACGCTTGGCTGCGACATATATATAGAAAACGCAATATTTCTGGATACACAGATTGTACAAAGTTATTAGTCTTATTTACAGCATACATGTAAGTGGCACTGCAGCTACAGTGGGTCCATTAACTTTCTAGATAAATTGTTGTATTTGAACACGAAGAGTGTTTAAAGCACTTTTTGTGTAGTTCCTCTAAAGTGAGCTTATGCATAGAGCCTGACGATACTCTTTGAAGAAAGTTTTTTTAACGCGCTTGAACAACCTGGCTTCGTAAACGGTCTTGCCAGCTTATTTATCTCGTTACAATTGAATGCAAGTTTAAAATTGAAGAAATGTGAACGAAGCTTCATTTTAATTGATTGGGGAAAAGTTTCTTTGCATTTTATATGAAAATTCAAAACATTTTTAAGTAAAATTAATTTACGTTGCCCTTTTGACATGATCCCATTGCTATAGAAATTTTGGGTCTTCTGATAAAAAACCGCTACAAGTCAGATTTTGGCAGTCCTCGCATGATGTTAACCTGATGCTGCCTAAAGAATTCTGAAGAAACCGAAACAGGTGAAGATTTGAAGGTGCAAGGTCATTATGGGGCGAATGCATTAACCTCTCAGCCGAACTCTCTTATTTTTGCTGAGTGGCAAAAGACGTGTGAGGTCTAGCGTTATCATGATGAAAAAGTAATTAATTCTGGCCTTACAAATTCTATCTTCAATCTCATCAGTTGTTCTCAGTAGAGTTCAGAATCGATGGTATTGCCTGGCGGTCATAATGAATAATGCCCTTCCAATCCCACCACACTCACAGCATCACCTTGTTGCGAGTTAACCCGGGTTTCACCCCAGTCTGTGAAGCCTAAGCGTCCTTTGACCACGATAAGTCGCAAGTTCTTGTCTTACGTGATCCACTTTTCATCATCAGTTATCAGCTTCTTCAAAATTAGTTCGATTTCATTACGCCGTAATAAAGAATCACAAATTAGTATACGGTTCATTAAGTTTCTTACAGTGAGCTCGTGAGTTACCCAAATATCCAACTTTTTTATGTACCCCGCTTTTTCAAATGCGGCAAAACTACTTTGTGATCAATCTCCAGTTCTTCAGCTACGTTTTAACTACTTATATGCTAATCTTGCTCTACTTTTTCAAGAATAGCATCCATTCTATCCATAACAGGACGATTGGAGCAACGTACATTTTTGACATCATAATTTTCGGACTCAAAACATTTCCGCGAAATTTGTGCTAATCTCACAGCAACTGCACTTAATCCATAAACGTCACATTTTTTTACGGCTCGTATTGCATTTTTACTTTTTTGTAATAAAATTTTAAAATATATCGAATTTTTTCAGTAGATTCACTCACATTTTCAGAAAACCACACATTTTCATAATTTGAATTCGGAGTTATCTCCTTTGCAATTTAAAGTTTTTAATGGTGCCAGCCAGATATAAATGGTATAACCAGAAAGATTTTATTACAAGTTTATACATACTATATGCGAAAAGACTTTTTCCCCAAACCTAATTTATTATCTATATCTGAACGCTCTTTACTCCGTATTTAGGAAGTAGCTAGCTTCTTTGTCCCTTTTTGTTACAAACCTCATGCTTATCTGATTGTAATATATACGTTCATGAATAAAATGAACCATTTAATATGTCAAATATTTAACTAGTTTATTTATTTCATATTACTTTAATTCTTACTCAGTTTACATTAAAAATAACTTCTGTTACCATGGAAAAGTTGCATTGGAGGTTGCATTGGATTTATTTTATTTGGGTGTAATAAGATATTTTTTTTACAAAAAAATTACGTTGCGTTTTTTACTTTAAGCAAAAAATATTTATTTAAAACATAACAAGAAACTGGATTTATAAACACTATTGCAGACATATTTTTTTATTCCTTACTAGATTATGAAGAAAAAACATAGCAGCGGACAAAATAAAAGGAAATTAACAAAAACCCTAGAAAGTAGCGAATCTGAGAAACAAGATAAAGCGGAAAATAAAGTTGATTCGTTGGATGATGAGGAACAGGGGTTTGGAGGATGGCTCAGGTACTTTATTTTGATATCTAGAGATATTTCACACAAACCGGGAAATATGATGCTCCTTTTGTATGTCATAGCTTGATAAGTTAAAGTATGTTTTTTCTACTAGCTGTTTTTCCGCGACCTTGCCCACACGAATATAAAAAACTATCATACACGAGTGAGAAAGGCTATACATTCTTACTCGTGTATTATAGCTTTCCAAGTGAAAGAGTTTTCCAAACTGCGGAGCTTATTCAATGCAAACAAAGAATCAATCAAATCTTTCCTCTTTATATTATAGGTGTCCACTAATCGAATAATAAGGATCATAACTAAAGTAAATTTTTGTCTCATAAAATATGGAAGCGACTTCTTAAAACATATTTAAGTGTTAAGTAACAATGTGGAAGGTAAAAATCTTGCAATTTCACTCGCTTCAATTCGAACAGGACTAGGTTTTGTAAAAAAAAAAATGTTTTCTGAATACATTTCTATTAATTAATTTTGTGTTGTTAATTACAGGTCAACAGATGGCATTGATACAATGAAACTGTTCGTCATTGCAAACACCATAGTGATGCTAACTACCATAGTATATCCACACATCCAGACAGCGTACGAAATCGTATACGATATGATTTATGGTCCTGACACTCTATATTGACTGTTTGCTCCTGCAATATATCAATTTCGACTCTGTCGCGAGAACGGAAAGGTTTATATTTATTTACTCCGCAAGCGTGGCTTTATTTATGTCTCGTTAGAGATATATGGCTGAAGTACGTTACAATTTTATCTAATTTATCTTGCGAGTGACAGTACTGCCCTAGAAAATTTGTAGTTGCGGTGAGTTTTTGTTTGTTTTGGGACAGTCAAAGAGTTTTTGTTGCTTGTAAGTACAGGTAATTAAATCGTAAATTTATGAAAGCTTAAGAAAATTCATATATAAAATACTAAATATCGTATACAATAATTATTCATTTTGCAATTTTTGTATTATTTCATTAAAAATAATGCTTGGTCTACTATTTAGATTGATATTTTCTCTAGGCATTATAGTTTGGTATTCAGCTAACGTTTGGAATATGATAGCTGATTATTTCAATAAGGAATTTTATAAATTAATTGTAAACGATACAGCAATTCGAGATGAATTATAATACGTTCAACATAAGAAAGATTTACCGTTTATGTATTTTTTTCGAAATCAGTTTTATCTAAAATGATATAAACTTTTTACTATGTGATGGTTATTTATTTGATTACATAATAAGTTAAGTCAAAATCGCTTAAGGTAATTTAAAAAACTAAAAAGAAAAAAAACAAGCTCAGTAGTTTGAAATGTTATTAAGAACTACTGAATAACTGCTCCATAGAAATAGTTTCAAAATTTATACACACATAAAACATATCATAAATTCATAAGCAATAATGAAGGATCAAGAGTAAGAACCCATTCCTTATTAACCAATCAACGGAGCCCCATATAATGGGTCCCGACTGTTGATCCTTCTATTGTTCTTTTAAATTTATGATATGTGTGTTAAAAGATTTTAAAACTATTTCTATGGAACAGTTATTTAGTACCTACTTAATAACATTTCAAACTATTGGGCTTGTTTTTTTTAGTTTTTAGTGAAAGTAATTATTTTTTTTTTCACTTCTTTCTTTTGTTTTTACGCAGTCTAGTTTTTTATTTTTTATAATTAAAATTTTATTTCACACATTTTAGTTAGTTCTCATTGATTTCATTGTTAGAACTATAAGAAGGTAAATTTCGCAACCTTGTCATTTCATTGAGGGGGTTTATATCGTGAGGATTATTAAGCAACTTGCGTTGGTCTTAATTACTGACTATTAGTCCCTCTAGAGACATTACTCGGCTCAAAGCTACCTTTTAATTCTTTACTTTTTAATTCTTCACCGTATGTGTTTTATTCGGTCAAGAAAATTGATTCCCATAAGCTTCCAGGTAACTGGTACTTGCATTGTTATTTTATATAGAAGCAGACCAATTGCGAAGTACTTAGTTGATGTTGTGTGGAGTGCACATTTTACGAAGTGCACATTCCACTTCAAATCCACTTACACAATAATAACTTTTAATACCCAGTGATACAGATGAAAAATGCTATACTGTAGCATTTACTGAACAATTATTTTTGTATGTTAGCTCTGACAAACATAATATCCAGTTTGTGCTGAAGTTGATTTCTTACTATTTAAAAGCAGTGACTTCTCTCACCAGGTTGAGTTGAAGATATTGCCATCTTAATATTATCTATTTGATTCTTGGACGGGTAAAATACACTTATTTTTATTGTTTCTGATCTGATTGTTTTGATACAGCCAACAGCACGTCAAATTCCACAAATCTGTCGAATTTCTAGACTGGATTTTAAACCTTAAGATATGGACAACTGGAGAAATTCAACATATTATGGTAACAGGTAGCTCGGTGGCGTAGTGGATATGAGCACGCGATCGTTTTCATTAAGCAACTTTCGCAAGGGTCGGTCACGGGATGGATAACCAAAAAATTATTATCTCGAGCTACTCCGTGCTTCGGAAGGCAGGTTAAGCCGTTGATCCCGGCTTCATTTGTAGTCGTTAATACCCACCAATCCGCATTGTGCCAGCATGGAGGGTCATGGCCACTGCTCTTTAACCATAAGGAAGGCCTGAGCCCCTGCAGTGGGGACGAAATAAAGGGCTGATGATGATGATCATGGTAACAGGCAGCCGTATTCGTAAGTTCAGGTTTCCCTAAACTCCAAATGTACGATGCAGCGCTTAGTTGACCACGCTAACACAGTACACCATAAATTTTAATTATATAGGTTGTAGTTGAAGTTAGTTGTAAGTTGAAATTTGTAAATTGTAAGTATATGCGAAGTATCTTAAGAAAATTCACAGTTCAGATTTATTAGTTTATTTGATGTTACTAGCGTTACAGTAAGATTGATACTTATTTAATAATGTATATTTCATTATAAAGTAAAGTGTGCTAAGTTAAAATGTGCTGACATTAATAATAATAGTTTACGTATTTATTAAGCACATTGAACTTAACAGCTGACCGCGCGCTATGTGCGGCTAAACCGTACACCAAATAAATAACACAAATATTCAAGCTATTTTAAGGCAATGTATACGTTGTTGTTTAATATTTATTAAAGTAATCTTCTGCCTTTACAGCGACCGTCAACAATTCTTAAATAAATTCTGGCGCAAGTTTCCCAGAAGGCCGTTTGATGAATTATTGCCCAAAAAAGTATATACGTAAGATAACTTCGTTTTCATCACATTCTCACTCTAACAATGTATAAATGGCGCGCTTACTTCACATATGTTTCATACATATATTTGTTTCCTTGTTTGATATATATTTCAGATCTATGACCAATGTATGTAGTAATAATTAATTAATCATTAACACTGAAATTATTAATGAAAATGTTTTCAAGGATATATTTAAACTATATCCAATGCTAGTGGCCGCCAGCGAGTTCGTCCGCGTTTTCCATTATTTCTTCGCTCCTAATAATTGCAGCGTGATGTTATATAGCCTAAAGCCTTCCTCGATAAATGGTCTATTCAACACAAAAAGAATTTTTCAATTCGAACCAGTAGTTCCTGAGATTAGCGCGTTCAACCAAACAAACAAACTCTTCAGCTTTATAACATTATTATAGATTAATTTTTAGCTGATGCCTTCATCTTATCACTAGTTCTTTCACCTTCAAGTCAGAAATATTTGATGGTTTGCAGTATCGAGAAAGTGAGCACAAATATTGATATACTTCTACAATATTTAATCACTAACACTTCGATTTAACAGGATTTGTTGCTGTTCAAATAGTACGTAGTGTAAAAAACGCTGTGCAAACGCTGACATTCCTATTTATTCTTGGCAAATGTTTGACTGGTTAGGTAAACGTGTCGGGTCGTGTGGAATCGATACGCACAGGTTTTCTTACTAACCTTGGCTGAATGCCAAATGCAGTCGCTATTGTACAACGTACGGTGTATAAAGGGCCACGTTTGACTTTAAACAAACCTTATGTATACTCAGTAAAGTCCATTTTGACAAGGGTGAAGTTGTTCGTACGCTGATTAATTTTAAGGCAGCCAAGTGTTGATTATTTTACTTGTTTCAGTAAGGGGCCATTACTGAACTCAATAAAGAGATCGTTCAATTGTTTATGCTCTTTCGTTGTTAAATTTATGGCGTAAACAACTGGTTTTTGCTGTTGAGAAGATTTTGTTTTTTTTTTGTACTAAGAGGAGTGGTTGTAGTAACATGATATGTTTTACTAACGCATGGGGAATGCTCCTTTTGCTTTAAATCAGGGCTCTCCAAATTGGGACTTGCTGAAAGAGGCGAAGTCAATGTGTAGTGGACCTCTTTTGTGTCACACGGGTAATGCATTATGCACAGTATAGGCACTCTTCAACCGCACAAACGAATCCGAAGGAAAGCATACCCATTAAACCCCTTCACGTTTGAGGGAAGCCTGCAATCCAGAAAGGAAGGCTTACACCCAGCCTCTGTAAAACATTTTTGACCTACCTGGGAAATAATGATGGATAAAAATCCAAGATACTGCAATGAGGACAATGAACTCAATAAAACCCGTAAGGGAGCAAATAGGAACATACAAGAACTATACGAGGGTCAAACTGAAAGTTCTTAGAACTGGCCACTTATAAACAATATAATAAAAAAATAATTCTAAAATTTGAAAATATAACTCTTTGCCAATATTACTGAGTATATATTTCATTCATTTGTCATTTGTTTTACGATTTGGCGGCAAATTGAAAATTGTCTGTGTCACGTCATCATGAATTTAACACGAGAAAATTTTCGTGCAATGATTTTTTATGACTTTCGATGTCATTTAAGTCAACAAGAAAGTTATGATAGACTACGATTGGCCTTTCACGATGAAGCCCCATCTCGTGCGACTGTTTACAACTGGTTTAATGAGTTTAAACGTGGTCGCACTAATCTCACTGATGATTTACGTGAGGGACGGCCTTCTACGGCGACGACTGAAGATAACATCTGTGTTGTGCGGCGTATGATAGAGACTGACAAAAGAGTGACCTATCAACAGATTCGGACAAGCTTAGGCATCGGTATGAGTCAAGTGCACAAAATCCTCCACGAACATTTAGCGGTCAGGAAGCTTTGCGCCCGGTGGATACCTCATAATTTGACTGAGGCTCAAAAACTCCATCGTGTGGATTGGTGTCGTAAAATTATTGAAAGATTTAACGGAGGTGACTCAAATGCTGTGTTCGACATACTAACAGGTGACGAAAGCTGGATTTACTGTTATGATCCTAAAACCAAAAGACAATCTGCTCAGTGGGTGTTTCCTTTCGAGGAGTTGCCAACTAAAGTGAAGAGAGATCGAAGTGCGGGAAAAAAAATGGTGGCCTCGTTCTTTGGAAGGATAGGTCATTTTGCAACAATTGTGTTAGAGGATCAAAAAACAGTTTCTGCAGAATGGTACACTACCAATTGTTTGCCACTTGTCTTGGAAAAAGTTCGAGAGAAACGACCTCGCAGTAGGATCCTCCTTCACCACGACAACGCCTCGTCGCACACCGCCAAGCGAACGATCGACTATTTGGCGACATCAAACGTTGAAT